ATATGGTTGACAGTGGGTCACAAAGCTCCTCTTTGCATTCTTTAAGCACCCTAGCAAACACTTCATCCGGCCCTGGGGATTTGTTTGGTTTGAGTTTTACTATTTGTTTAAGAACATCCTCCCTGGTAACTGCTAAACTCGTCAACCTGTCCTCGTCCCCACCCACATAGACTTGTTCGGCTGAAGGCATATTGTTAAGTTCCTCTTTAGTAAATACAGATACAAAATATTTATTAAAAATACTACTCATCTCTTCATCACTATCTGTTATTTGACCTGTCTCAGTTTTTAATGGACCTATCCTTTCCCTAGTCTTAGTACGATATAACTGAAAAAACCCTTTAGGATTTGTCTTTGCTTGCCCTGCTATGCGAACTTCATAGTTTCTTTTTGCTTTCCTTATCTCTTTTTTAACATTTCTAACCAGTTGTACGAATTCCTGTTCTAAAGTGACCTCCCCATTTTTAATCCTTTTGTACCAAGCTCTCTTTTTACCTATAAGGTTCTTCAAATTCTTTGTTATCCACTTTGGGTCATTAGTATACGATCTATTCAATTTGTATGGTATACTACGTTCCTGTGCTTTGTTTAGAATATTCTTAAATAAGTTATATATTGAATCCACATCGAAATCCCCATTTAAGTCACCTATCGCTGGGTTCATGTCTCGCTCCAAGACCGGCCCACACCCCATACCCAAGCCTTTCCAATCAATTTGACCCAAAAAATTTCTTAGGCTATTAAAATCAGCTTTTCGAAAATCTGGCACTTTAACAGAATTTTCTCCTACTGGTCTATTCCATTCTATGCTAAATCTGATTTCTTTGTGATCACTGCTCCCTAGCTCACTCCCTATTTCGATGTCATTAATTTGCGTTTCCCTGTTAGTTAACACTAAATCTAAAATATTATTTTCCCGTGTTGGTTCCTTAATGTGTTGCGTAAGAAAGCAATCGTCAATTAATTCTAGAAAATCTTCTGCTTCACTATTCCCTGTTTTGTTCAACCAGTTTATTCCGCTAAAATTAAAGTCACCCATGACATAAATACTGTTAGATCTAGATGCTCTAGATATTTCATCCCATAGATGCTTTGCTTCCATTCTGTCTAAATTTGGTGGCCTATATATTACTCCTATTATAATATTATTAGCTTTTTCGTTTAATTCAATCCAAATAGTTTCTGTGTGTGGCTCTGTTTTGATTCCCTCTTTGAGACTACATTTCAAATTGTCCCTAACATATATGGCTACTCCACCTCCTCGTCTAATATATCTATCTGTGTGAAATAGTTTAAATCCATATATTTGATATTCAGCTAATAGTTCTCTATTTTCTACATTCATCCACGTTTCGGTAAGTGCAATAATATCTATTTTTTCTGTGCAGACAAGAGCATTTAATTCGTTAATTTTATTTCTTAGACTTCTACTGTTAGTGTAATATACCCTAAGTGAATTGTTATTTTGCGGACCTTCTCTTTCCCTGATCGTTTTGCCAATTCCTTTCTCCCACAAACACATACTTTTATTACCTCCTTCCTCCAAATCAATTCCCATACCTCTATCTACTAACAGTTTAAACCCAAACAAACACCTCTAACCACTTCTTCTAGCGAGTTCGCAACAGCAACAACCCCAGCTCTCGATAGATGCACCCCATCACGAGCATACATTTCATTTCTTCCATAGAAGTGTTCCCAGTTGTCTATGAAAGATATTGCATTTGATTTGCAATATCTTTCCAGCCGGCAATTGACACCAAGTGCCCTCGATATCCATTCATTTCCCACTCCCTTTCTTGGAAGAATGCCACATATGATCGGGATTCCTCCCTTGCTCCTAACTAACTCTATGGCTGTTTTATACCTCTGAATCAGTTCCTCACTCCTGACTCGACCAACATCATTTCCTCCCACGCTAATGCAAATAATGGGATTGTTCCCATTACCAGCCATAATATCATTCATGTTGTTTATAATATCACCAATGCCAGCTCCGGGATAGCAAACCCTTAACCTGTTCCCCCTATCTCTAGCACAAAACGTTCTATCCAAATACCTTATCTGGGAATCTCCCACAACTAATGTTTGCTTAGGTACTTCCTTTACTTTCTGAGGGGCCTGCGCTTCCTTTCTCTTCGTTGCTTTCCCTTTTGCGCGATCCACAGTCTCTCCACAGCACTCGTCCTCCAAAACGTCAAATGAATTTGAAGTTGCTATGGCGTTTGAAGGCGGCTTTATCAAAGTCTTCTTAAGGCCCCTGTCTTTCGCAACTCTCCAAGACGAGGTCCCTTTACTGCTGGTCTCCTCCTTCGTTACTTCTCGTTGTTTTTTAAGCTGACGCACCTCCTCCCGCAGAGAGTCCAACTCTGTCCTCAGGGCTCCCACTAGAGTCACCAGGTCCTTCACTACAACTTCCATATTTGCTATGATAATATAACAACACTCAGGAGCTCCGGTTAACACAACCTCTCACTGTGACTTCACCTGACCGACTGAATTAATAAATCCCAGTGTCCTATTTGCCTTATTACAAACTTATTACTGCTTCGACGGGTAGGCAGTTCCATGGGGTTTGTTACATACGAATACGTGTACATATTTGGTTGATTAGACAGTTTATTAGTTTTTTATATTTATTTATTATTCTTGGCTCTGTCAGTCGGGTTGTTGGCAGTGTAGTAAAGTGTCATAGGAGTTGCTGGACGAAGCCTGGAGCAGGGCAGAGAGCTCAGTGAGGCCAGGGCTAGAAAGCTGGGGTGCAGGTGGAGTGTGTAGAGCGCGGCGCTCTGAATGCAGGGGAAATGGAGGAGCTCGAGTGTGGGATGAGAGCGTTGAAGCTGGATGTGGCTAGAGCCTGGCTGGATGCTCTGTGTCGAGGCTGAAGCATCTTGTAAGGGTAGGAACTGGACCTGTGCAGTGCTACATTGTTGTTGGTAAATGTTGATGTATGCGTTATCTCTCAAGCGTCTGTAACATACGTTTATGTTACGTTGTTGGGTAGATTAGATATACAGTATTTAGTGAGTTTCATATTTATTTAGTAGTCCTGGATACAGCAGTGTCGTAGACGTTGAGACAAAGCGTTGAGACGTGGAGCTCTTATGTGGGAGAGCGTGGTGGCTCAAGTGGGAATTGTGAGTGTCTGAACTCGGGGAGCGAGAGCATGGTGGCTCGATGCGGTCGTAGTCTGCTGTCTGCTCTGTGTCGAAGCTGTAGCGTCTTGGGTCGATTAGAACTGCACACGCCGAGTGCTACATTGTTGACTGGAAATTGTACTGTCTGCTATTCATCAAATCGCTTGCTTACATGGTGATTAATTACACCTCAGCTCCCTCCAACAAGATGAGAAGAGTATTACCAGTAATTGGAGAAAGGATTGTTGCTTCTGTAATTAGTGCTAATTAGTTATACTATTATGATAATGAGATAATGGAGCGAGTATAAGATTAACTCGCTACACGTCTGTACTGAAAGCTCTTGAAATTTGACTGGTGATTATTTATTGTTTTAGAGTCAGTTACTCAGAACAAAAGTTCCAAGTAGCACGGGCTATGGTGAGCCCGTAGTGGACTTACCTAGCACAGGAGCGGTGCAAGTAGCACGGGCTATGGTGAGCCCGTAGTGGACTTACCTAGCACAGGAGCGGTGCAAGTAGCACGGGCTATGGTAAGCCCGTAGTGGACTTACCTGGCACAGGAGCGGGGTTGTGTTGTTGTTATAGATTCAGCTACTCGGAACAAGTTCCAGGTAGCACGGGCTATGGTGAGCCCGTAACTTACCTGGCACAGGAGCGGGGCAAGAAGCACGGGCTATATGGTTAGCCTCGTGGACGGGAGATGTCTCCCGTCAAAAAAAAATGCAGGAGCGGGGCTGTGTCTGTTATTTAATATCGATATCGTATATAAATCTATCCACACCACACCTGACCATCATAACTATACCAAAGGAAACAGCGAGTCAGTATAAATGGGGTTACGTCAGAGTGGGAAAATTTACGGGCTATTCATGCCCGTGCCACCTCTTGGGTGGCTTAATCTTTATCAATCAAGTGGGAAAATGTAAGTAGAGTGCCTCAAGGCTCTGTCCAAGGCTTAAATGTATCGACACAAGACAGAACGTGAAACAATGGGTATAAATTGGATAAGCTTAGATTTAGAAAAGACATGGGTAAATACTTGTTCGGTAGCAGGGTTGTTGATTTTTTTTTTTTTTTTTTTTTTTTTTTTTTTTTTTTTTTTTTTTTTGAGATATATACAAGAGTTGTTACATTCTTGTACAGCCACTAGTACGCGTTTGTGGATCCAATTGCCACGTGGCGTGATGGAGGTGGGGTTCCTTGATTGTTTCAAGTGTGGGTTGGACATGTATATGAGTAGGATTGCAGCTCCTATTTTTGGATAAATAGGAGCTGCCTCGTATGGGCCAATAGGCCTTCTGCAGTTACCTTCATTCTTATGTTCTTATTCCAAGAGTGCGACTTAACCAAACTAGAAATACTCTATAAATTCAAGGGGACCCAGAATGTGGAATGACCTTCCCAGTCATGTCAAAGGCTGTACCTCTCTCACGCAGTTTAAGAGTAAAACTAAGTTCTACCTAATAAACTTCATGTAACCTTCCTTACCCTCCTAAATGTCAACCTATATCTTGATATTTTCAAGCAATACTGTTTGTTGACCAACTTGTTTAATTGCTGATTTCTGCCACGTTCCCCGCCTCTTTGAACACAATTTATACTTTAATCTCAATTAGTATTAAGTTTTAGCATTTAGTCTAAGTGGTTTCTTATCCCCCACACCTTGCCCAAAACGCTATGCGTATTAGTGACTTTAGGCTCAGTATGTACTAGCTTCATCTATAAATCCAACATTATGTTTGTAACTTATCTTCTTTGTATGTACTTTTACCTGAATACAAAAATTAATGTTAATTTTGATACACGCATTAACAAACAGAAAACGAACTTCAACTAATCGTCTCGTGTTCTAAACGACCAAACTCCCCCATGTGGAGCCCAGCTGACGGGTGTCAACAAACACAGCTGGCGGGAGACGGCGTCATGGACGGGATTAGGGAGACGGGCGTTATGGACGGGGAGACGGTCGTTATGGATGGGAAGTCGGGCGTCATGGACGGGATCAGGGAGACGGTCGTCATGGACGGAAAGAAGGTCGTTATGGACGGGGAGACGGGCGTCATGGACGGGATCAGGGAGACGGTCGTCATGGACGGGGTCAAGGAGACGGTCGTCATGGACGGGGTCAGGGAGACAGTCGTCATGGACGGGGTCAAGGAGACGGTCGTCATGGACGGGGTCAGGGAGACAGTCGTCATGGACGGGATCAAGGAGACGGTCGTCATGGACGGGGTCAAGGAGACGGTCGTCATGGACGGGGAGACGGTCGTCATGGACGGGGAGACGGGCACGAGTAACACTGCACCTTGCATTAATCATCTGCTGCTGAGCACCCACATTACTGCTCTCAATGTTAAAAATAACTACGTTTTCATCGGTATGTTAAATGGAGTCTGGGTTACTTTCAGTATTTATCCCAGGAAGGTTGAACGTTGTAGTTCTCTGGGTGTTTTGTACACAGTATCAAATGTCAATATGAGAGAGCTCAATAGGTTCTAGAATCTGTATATCAGTTGTCTGTCCATTATACGGTCGGCCGAGTGGACAGCACGCTGGACACGTGATCCTGTGGTCCCGGGTTTGATCCCGGGCGCTGGCGAGAAACAATGGGCAGAGTTTCTTTCACTCTGATGCCTCTGTTACCTAGCAGTAAAATAGGTACCTGGGAGTTGGTTAGCTGTCACGGGCTGCTTCCTGGGGGTTGGAGGCCTGGTCGAGGACCGGGCCGCGGGGACACTAAAGCCCCGAGATCATCTCAAGATAACTCAAGATATGTCATTACTCTCTAGGTGTTCAACCCATTTGGCTTTAACTAGTGGTTCTAGTGTTTTGACTCCCACGCCCACCCAAGGTGAAACTCCATCAGGTTCAACTGCCTTATTTCTTCCTAGCACCTTAAGTAACTTTTCCACTTCGTTGTGAGATACCTCTATGATACCTCTATGGCGTGTTCTGGAAGTGGTATTCGGGCTCTCCGAAACCTTCATTTTGTACAAACACACTTTGGAACTGTTCATTTAGTGTTACATAATTTGTTTTTCATTCTCAGTAGTCCTGTTCCCCATTCTCAATCTCTGGATTTTATCCTTTACATGCAGCTTGCTTTAATGAATTTATATAAATTTCTGTATTTTGATGTATTTATGTATATGTGTATTTATATACTCCCCTAGTTGTACCCACCTAATTGTGCTTGCAGGGGTTGAGCTCTGGCTCTTTGGTCCCGCCTCTCAACCATCAATCAACAGGTGTACAGGTTCCTGAGCCTACTGGGCACGATCATATCTACACTTGAAACTGTGTATGGAGTCAGCCTCCACCACATCACTTCCTAATGCATTCCATTTGTCAATGCATTCCATTTGTCAACCACTCTGACACTAAAAAAGTTCTTTCTAATATCTCTGTGGCTCATTTGGGCACTCAGTTTCCACCTGTGTCCCCTTGTGTTAAATAGCCTGTCTTTATCCAAGTCATGTCATGTATATGTATGTATATGTATGTATGCATTTATGTATATATATGTATTTATGTATTAGTGAGGTCAGATACAAAATATAAATGCTGTAGGTGAGGAGTCCAGCATAAAGGAGGAAAAGAATAGAATATAAATGGGGACGAATAAAGCGGGAAAAAAGGGAGGAAGCACATACGGTACAAAGATTAATCGTGCTTTCTTACTTATGGGGCGGTAGTAAGAACAACACCAGAACACGAAGATGCCAATATAGACAGCGCTGCTTAAAACGCCACACCCATTACACCTGATTATTCTTTGTATGTGCTTCCTCCCTTTTTTCTGCTTTATTCGTCCCCATTTATGTCTCCCATCCCCCCCCCCTCCATTCATGCCCTATTCTCTCCCCCTTTATGACGCTGTGTGTGTGTTAGTGGCTCTGCAAGAATATAAGAACACCAATGTTATGTACTCTCATAACCCAATGAACCTTCTTGTATATAAATAAATAAATAAACCCATAAATATACATTATATACTGCCATCCTGGTACTTTGAATGTGTAGTGCAAAATAGTCTCCATGGTGTAGTGGTAAGACACTCGCCTGGCGTTCCGCGAGCGCTATGTCATGGGTTCGTATCCTGGCCGTGGAGGATTTACTGGGCGCAAATCCTTAACTATAGCCTCTGTTTAACACAACAGTAAAATGTGTACTTGGTTGTAACAACGATTCTTCCCGGCGGGGATCGTATTCCAGGGACTTTGAAACGCTACACGTACTAGTGGCTCTACAAGAATGAAACAACACTTGTATATATCTCAAAAAAAACAAAAAAAATAGTTTTCATTATGATGTTGAATAAATTAATGTCCATTTTCTGTCGACTATTTCCCAGGTGAAGGCCAGCATTTTCACGTTCACGACATTGGTAGTGGGGAAAGGCTTTCCAGCATTGAAGTCTTGCGTGCAGCAGTAATTCACGGCATCCGACTTGAGACGTGTTCCCTAGACAATGAAAATGTTTGGATGGTGGCAATCTTTGGCCAGAAAAGTTTAACTGTTGTGCGTTTTACTCCCTCTCAGAGCAAGTGGTAGGTGGTATAAAACATTAACTTTTGTGTAAGTCAAATAATAAGATGTGATCAGTTTAATTCTGCGAGATCCCCCCACCCGTAGCAGAAGCAGCTCCCCCCTCAGTAGCAGCTTGCCCCTCAGCAGCAGCTCCCCCGTCAGCAGCAGCTCCCCCCTCAGCAGCAGCTCCCCCCTCAGCAGCAGCTCCCCTCTCAGCAGCAGCTCCCCCCTCAGCAGCAGCTCCACCCTCAGCAGCAGCTCCCCCCTCAGCAGCAGCTCCCCCCTCAGCAGCAGCTCCCCCCCTCAGCAGCAGCTCCCCACCCCTCAGCAGCAGCTTCCCCCTCAGCAGCAGCTCCCCCCTCAGCAGCAGCTCCCCCCTCAGCAGCAGCTCCCCCCTCAGCAGCAGCTCCCCCCTCAGCAGCAGCTTCCCCCCTCAGCAGCAGCTCCACCCTCAGCAGCAGCTCCACCCTCAGCAGCAGCTCCCCCCCTCAGCAGCAGCTTCCCCCTCAGCAGCAGCTTCCCCCTCAGCAGCAGCTTCCCCCTCAGCAGCAGCTCCACCCTCAGCAGCAGCTCCCCCCTCAGCAGCAGCTCCACCCTCAGCAGCAGCTCCCCCCTCAGCAGCAGCAGCTCCCCCCCCTCAGCAGCAGCAGCTACCCCCCCCCTCAGCAGCAGCAGCTCCCCCCTCAGCAGCAGCTCCCCCCCTCAGCAGCAGCAGCTCCCCCTCAGCAGCAGCTCCTCCCCTCAGCAGCAGCAGCTCCCCCTCAGCAGCAGCTCCCCCTCAGCAGCAGCAGCTCCCCCCTCAGCAGCAGCTCCCCCCCTCAGCAGCAGCAGCTCCCCCCCTCAGCAGCAGCAGCTCCCCCCCCCCTCAGCAGCAGCAGCTCCCCCCTCAGCAGCAGCTCTCCCCCCTCAACAGCAGCTCCCCCCCTCAGCAGCAGCAGCTCCCCCTCAGCAGCAGCTCCCCCCTCAGCAGCAGCTTCCCCTCAGCAGCAGCAGCTCCCCCCTCGGTAGCAGCAGCTCCCCCCTCGGTAGCAGCTCCCCCCCCTCAACAGCAGCTCCCCCCTCAGCAGCAGCAGCTCCCTCCCCCCTCAGCAGCAGCTCCCCCCTCAGCAACAGCTCCCCCCTCAGCAGCAGCTCCCCCCTCAGTAGCAGTTCCCCCCCCTCAGCAGCAGCTCCCCCCCCCCCTCAGCAGCAGCTTCCCCCCCCCTCAGCAGCAGCTTCCCCCCCCCTCAGCAGCAGCTCCCCCTCCCCTCAGCAGCAGCTCCCCTCCCCCTCAGCAGCAGCTCCCCTCCCCCTCAGCAGCAGCTCCCCCCTCCCCTCAGCAGCAGCTCCCCCCCCCTCCCCTCAGCAGCAGCTTCCCCCTCAGCAGCAGCTCCACCCTCAGCAGCAGCTCCCCCCTCAGCAGCAGCTCCACCCTCAGCAGCAGCTCCCCCCTCAGCAGCAGCAGCTCCCCCCCCTCAGCAGCAGCAGCTCCCCCCCCCTCAGCAGCAGCAGCTTCCCCCTCAGCAGCAGCTCCCCCCCTCAGCAGCAGCAGCTCCCCCTCAGCAGCAGCTCCCCCTCAGCAGCAGCAGCTCCCCCCTCAGCAGCAGCTCCCCCCCTCAGCAGCAGCAGCTCCCCCCCTCAGCAGCAGCAGCTCCCCCCCCTCAGCAGCAGCAGCTCCCCCCTCAGCAGCAGCTCTCCCCCTCAGCAGCAGCAGCTCCCTCCTCAGCAGCAGCTCCCCCCCTCAGCAGCAGCAGCTCCCCCTCAGCAGCAGCTCCCCCCTCAGCAGCAGCTTCCCCCTCAGCAGCAGCAGCTCCCCCCTCGGTAGCAGCTCCCCCCCCTCAACAGCAGCTCCCCCCTCAGCAGCAGCAGCTCCCTCCCCCCTCAGCAGCAGCTCCCCCCTCAGCAACAGCTCCCCCCTCAGTAGCAGTTCCCCCCCCTCAGCAGCAGCTCCCCCCCCCCTCAGCAGCAGCTCCCCCCCCCTCAGCAGCAGCTCCCCCTCCCCTCAGCAGCAGCTCCCCTCCCCCTCAGCAGCAGCTCCCCTCCCCCTCAGCAGCAGCTCCCCCCTCCCCTCAGCAGCAGCTCCCCCCTCCCCTCAGCAGCAGCTTCCCCCTCAGCAGCAGCAGCTCCCCCCTCAGCAGCAGCTCCCGCCTCAGCAGCAGCAGCTCCCCCCTCAGCAGCAGCTCCCCCCCTCAGCAGCAGCTCCCCCCCTCAGCAGCAGCTCCCCCCCTCAGCAGCAGCTCCCCCCTCAGCAGCAGCTCCCCCCTCAGCAGCAGCTCCCCCCTCAGCAGCAGCTCCCCCCTCAGCAGCAGCTCCCCCCCTCAGCAGCAGCTTCCCCCTCAGCAGCAGCTCCCCCTCAGCAGGAGCTCCCCCCCCACAGCAGGAGCTCCCCCCCCACAGCAGGAGCTCCCCCCCCTCAGCAGCAGCTCCCCCCCCCCCCTCAGCAGCAGCTCCCCCCCTCAGCAGCAGCTCCCCCCCTCAGCAGCAGCTCCCCTCCCTCAGCAGCAGCTCCCCCCCCTCAGCAGCAGCTCCCCCATCAGCAGCAGCTCTCCCTCAGCAGCAGCTCCCTCCCTCAGCAGCAGCTCCCCCCCCTCAGCAGCAGCTCCCCCATCAGCAGCAGCTCTCCCTCAGCAGCAGCTCCCCCTTCAGCAGCAGCTCCCTCCCTCAGTAGCAGCTTCCCCCTCAGCAGCAGCTTCCCCCTCAGCAGCAGCTCCCCCTTCAGCAGCAGCTCCCCGCCTCAGCAGCAGCTCCCCCCCTCAGCAGCAGCTCCCCCCTCAGCAGCAGCTCCCCTCTCGGCAGCAGCTTCCCCCTCAGACTTTGGAACATCTGACTTCAAAACACCATAAGGAAAGAATGGTGTAGGAACCTGGACCACTTAGGAATGACACTTGACTAAACCTTTCAAGGAGGCTGAGCCACAGAAGATGTGCATGAATTGACACCAAATCAAGCCCCAAGTTCTTGGAAGCAAGAATGAACCAGCCTGCTAGGAGGAATACCCTGCCAGCTGAAGAGCCAGCCTGCAAGGATGAATACCTTGCCGGCAGAAGAACCAGACTGGAAGAAGCCCAACCAACTCCAGGTTGGGCAAAATCAGCTATTGTATAACTGAAAATGAGGGCATCAAAAGATGGAAGCAGCCTGTACCCACCGAAGTGAATAAGAACGCCCGCTGGACAAGAAAACAGCTAGCAAAACCAATGGGAATGATGCATTGATGAGCACCCACCGTGTCAAAGAGGGTGAACCATATGGAAGGACCATATGCGAACTCAGTCAACAAACTTGACAAGCTAACCCTTTGAGGCAAATCCAGAGAATCAGAAATCAAACACCTGTGGCCAGCCCCAAACCAGAAGAGATCAGAATGACCAACACTGACCAAAGCAAGAACCACCAGACTGCAGGTGAAAGGAAACTGGATCATGGAACCCAATATGGACAAAAGCACAGCACAGTGCTCCATAACCATTGCCAATTCGCAAGCTGAAAAGTGAACCCAACAGAGGAAATGTTCCCTGGATTAGGAGCACCATGGGACTCTAACTACAAACGCCAGCTGAGAACCAAGGTGACCTGAATAGGATGCATATGGAAAGAGAAAGATGCTATGAAGCAAAATCCCTTAGGCCAAATAAAGGACAATGGTGACAGAAGAACTACAGGGCGAACAGAAAAACACTGAAAACTACCCATAAGGCAAAATGGGGTACCCACCTGAGAAATGAAGGTGCACACACATTTACCACAAAGCCAAGCGAGAAGACAATGGAAGCAAAAGTGAGCTGATGCACAGTCACTTGAAAGGCCAACAAGGAAACCAAGTGCTTCCCTCACTTGGTTTCAGAAACAAGAGACCAGCTTAGGCCGGTGCTAGCAAAGACCATCAATCTGTGATGGAACAAAGTGGAATTTTTGGCAGCCGACAAGGAGCCTGAAACATGTCAACTGAGAAAGAACGATGAACCCCGGCTAGCAGACAAACCGACTTTGCTGGGTGCACAAATCAACCAGTCTTCTAAGCAGAAGACACTGGCCCTCTAAAAACAAATACCCAGACCTGCATCACACCAGAGAAATTCAGGGTGCCAGAGGCCAACTTAAGGGACCATGGTGCCCAAGACATCTACCCATGGAATCAGAAGGACTGTCTGAACAAGGCGAAGTGGAATGTAAGAATGGGATGAAACTAGGAAAACCAGAGACAGCAAAGAACCGAGGCTCCCACGTTCCCCACGAGGGAACCGAAAACCAACAAGACACCTGCAGGAAGTGAAACAAACGGTGATGACACAAAAAGTCATACAAGCATGAGTACAGGCAAGTGTATCAAGACAAACCTCAAATACTGCTGCAGCATAAAAAGAATCCTATGAGAAGGGCAGGTGCCACTCCTGCGAGAAGATAAACTGACAGAAGACTGAGTGTAAAGCACCCTCGTAGCTGGAATCCTGGTATAGGTCACACAACATGCTTGTGCATTGTTCATGTTAATCTGTTCAAGAACAATATAATTTTAGGATAAGTAGTGCCAGGACAAGTACGAACAAAATCAACACCCAAGACCCAGGCACCACAGAATACCCACCTCAACCAGGCATCTGTGAAGCCCCCAAAACTAACAGGAGAAACACCACAAAGGGAAAGAATTGCCAAAATCCAGGAAAAATGAGAATAATGCCAGGTGCCCAGTGAACTTCACTGTAGCCCAACCCAACACTAACAGGAGAGGTGAACAGTATGGATACAACCCCTGTCAAAGGCACCACCAGTAACATTATTGCCAGAAACCCCATCCAGAAACAGTGGCACTGCACCTTGGCAACCACAGCCAAAACAGCAGCACTGCACCCTGGCAACCACATCCAAAACAGTGGCACTGAATCCTGGCAACCACATCCGAAACAGCGGCACTGCATCCTGGCAACCACAGCCAAAACAGTGGCACTGCATCCTGGCAACCACAGCCAAAACAGCGGCACTGCACCCTGGCAACCACAGCCAAAACAGTGGCACTGCACCCTGGCAACCACAGCAAAAACAGCGGCACTGCATCCTGGCAACCACAGCCAAAACAGTGGCACTGCACCCTGGCAACCACAGCCAAAACAGTGGCACTGCATCCTGGCAACCACAGCCAAAACAGTGGCACTGCACCCTGGCAACTGCAGCTGAAAGAGCAGGCCCACCTTGCATGCAACCTAAAGAGTTACAAGGCCCAGATGCTCCACACAGCAGTGAGCTAATGGAACCCACCAAGCGTGCCGTGAAGCATGGCACAGAAGCCAAGGTGGGTGACCAGGCTAGTGTGAAAAGGAGGCACATTAGTGACCCAAAATGGCAAGAAGCCTACTAAAATCCCCAAACAGGGAACTAGTATTGCAAGGACATAAATTCACTTGAAAGCATATAGAGAAGAATGACAAAGTTAATCCCAGAAATTAGAAACCTTCCTTATGAAGAAAGATTGAAGAAGTTAAATTTCCATTCTCTAGATAAACAAAGAGTAATGAGTGACATGATTGAAGTGCACAAATGGATGAAAAGGTTTAATGAATATAAATAAGGTATAAATATATGAACTCAAAATAAAACATGAAACGATGGACATAAATTAGATAAGTTTACTACATTCAGAAAATGTATGTATATACTGGTTTGGAAACTGTTGTAGATTATGGAACAAATAATCCATTTATTATGTTACCAGGTAACATAATAAATGGCAATGGATTATTTTAAGCATTGACATTTATTTATATTTATATATTTACATATATTTAAGCATATATATAGACATATTCTTTATATATTTAATTTCCATGTTTGGTAATTACCTAAGTGTAGTTACAGGATGAGAACTATGCTCATGGTGTCCCGTCTTCCCGGTACTCTTTATCGTATAACACTTTGAAACTACTGACGGTCTTGGCCTCCACCATCTTCTCACCTAACTTGTTCCAACCCTCTACCACTCTGTTTGTGAAAGGAAATTTTCCTATATTTCTTCGGCAGCTTTGTTTAGTTAGTTTAAATTTATGACTTCTTGTTCTTGAAGTTCCAGGTCTCGGGAATTCTGCCCTGTTAATTTTATCTTTTCCCTGTTACTATTTTGTACGTAGTGATCATATTTTTCTCCAAGTATTCTACCCATTTAGTTTTAATTATTTTGTCCAATATTTTTACTATTTCACTTGTCAATGATACAGGTCTATAATTGATGGGGGTCTTCCCTCAAGAGGTTGAAAGCCCAAGGGTATGGACTTCTCAGGGAAGAAAACCCTGACTGTAAGCAGAGGCAAGGCCAGCGGTAACAAGGGAAGGCAACTCTGGCTGCATACAATAGAGGTGAATAAGTGATCAAGACACATACAACAGGTTGGCTCTAGAACACATGTGCTTGAAGCAGTAAAGGAACTCATAAAGTACAGGTCCCTGTGGAAGACAGAATTGAAAGGATGGTCAGCACTAAGCAGAATGGTGGTACCCGCAGAACCAGGAACACACCAGGAGGACCACGCTGTAGTGCATCGGGTGCATGATCGACTGGGGTAGCTGCCTCTTTCCCTTGGGTTGCTAGTGGCAAGAGTGTGAACTAACTAGCAGTTGAATCTTGACAACATGTTAACATAGTTCAAATCAGATTTACAAATGTTTTGTCCAAGCAGTTGTTTAATCACACTCAACCTTTCTGGAGGTTTTTCCTTTGTAATCTAGTATAGTATCTAGATCGCATTTGGATTTGCAGCAGTCTCCGTGGCGCAGTGGTAAGACACTCGCCTGGCGTTTCGCAAGCGCCTTGCCTTGGGTTCGAATCCTGGCCGGGGAGAATTGACCGGGCGCCAATCCTTAACTGTAGCCTCTGTTTATCCAGCAGTGAATGGGTACCTGGTTGTTAAACGATTTGGCGGGGTCGTATTCCGGGGAAATTAGGGTTAAGGACCTTGCCCGAAACGCTACGCGTAATAGTGGGTTTACAAGAATGTAAAACTCTTGTATTTAGTATCCTCAATCCCCCTAATGCCTATACTGAGGGGGGGGAACCAGTTCTGGTTATGGATTCCTTAAACCTGGATTTGGAAAACTCAAGGTTGGTGGCCAGGGAGAGATACAGAGGGAAGGCCTCGTAAAAAAACTTGTACCATGCACCAAATCACCTGTGTGTAATTACCTAAGTGTAATTACTTACGTGTAGTTACAGAATGAGAGCAGCACTTGCGGTGTTGTGTCATGCTTTTCAAATTTAGGGGTTAAAAATCAAATCATGTAGGTATGTGAATTAACATTACAGTATACGAATTCACACTATGTGTTTATGAATTTTAATTTGCACAGATTGAGGGCTGACTGTAGTGTACAGTATGTACTGATTATGCTTCTTGCTAGAATTGTAATTGTGAAACTATTTTATGATTCAGAAATGCACATTTTTCTCTTAAATATGGTAAGAAGTTTAAATGTCTACTGATCTTTTGAATTATATGCCATAGGATAAAAATCCCACACTTTTGTATTTGTGAATTTTATGTAAAGATTTTCACAAAGTGTTTCACACTTTTCTGAAGTCTTTGTCAAGGTCTGAGTGTGTGGGTAGGATGAGACTTGCATCTCAATGATTAACGAATATATAAGTGTGGGTTTTTATCCTATGTTATTACGTCTATGAGAAGACATTACCATTACTTATTATATGTAGTATTAATTTAATTCTTCTCATCATATTTCAGCTGTATCTTTATGGAAGAGAGGGTACTTGAAGATTGGATCGTTGATGCTGCCTGGGAGACTGACTTTTCACACATCGTACTTGCTCTAGCACACAACTCTCTCCTACGCTATGAAGTCAAAGAATCCAGTAAAACTGTGATATGTGCAACAAATGAATTAGACAGCAGAGAAGAAAATATAGATTACAGTTACATGTCAGTTTTAAACTGTGGCCAAATTTCAGGGAACGATGAATGTATCCCAAATTGCAACATGCATAATGCCATTCAGCAGCAGCTCAATAAGTCTAGGAAACGAGATCTGTCTATATTAGCCACTGCCGAGTGCACCGAAAGATGTGTCGTCTTCTGCGGTCGTGTGGTTGTGATGTCGGGTTCCTGGATATATATATATATATAAATATATATATATATATATATATATATATATATATATATATATATATATATATATATATATATATATATATATATATATATATTGTGACGATAATCTCCTTCAAGAGATTGAGCCTGCTCTTCCCTCCAAAATTACGTCTTCACAATTATATAAAAAGACTATGGAAGAAATGTCCAACAACGACAACAACACCAGCACCAGCAAGGCTTGCCAGGGTGAGCAGAAACGTATGCAACCAGCCACCTGTTCGAACTCCAACCACCAAACTACCCGTTGATCGCTACGGCTCCGCTGATTGGTCGCCGGTCTGGCTGCACCTGCACTCGCCCCCAATACTACCTGATGTCTGGGGTCGCCCCAACATCAGTCCTCAGAATGTTCCGTGCTTTCGTAGCCAGCACTCCTCCCAGCTAGACGTTAGCGTGTACTGAGAGAGGTGGTGGCTTTAAGCCAATATTCCAGCACCTCCCACTTACCTTTGTGTTGCACTTCTTATTTTGCCTTAACGTAACTTTCATTGTGTCATTTAAGTATTCTTATTATTTTGATTCATTGATTTTATTATACATATTTGTTTGTGCATTATTTTCATGTTTTGATTTATTTAACGTAATTAAAATTTCATTGTTAAAGTTTACTTGTGTTTTGTGTGTCTTCTCCTTACCTTACCACAGACGAAGTTCCAGTTTTTCTATTTTTTTTTATAACTATGTGACGAGGCCATACCCCTAGCCTTAAACAGCCGAACACCAACGCGTTACCGTCACAAGTTATATGGGGGCCTGTCCTAGGATCTTCACTCAGGTACTGGTGCCAAGTGGTAATTTATGGTAAGCGTATTTAACTTTGTTAACGTAGCTTTACTATTTTTCATTCAATTTCATTTTTTATAAGGTGCGGTGTATTGTGCATTACGAGAGTAACATATAGTGAAGGTGAGACAACTTTGGATTACGTGGTGACTGTAGGCCTCAGTCATACTCTTAATTGGTCATCTCTCCCTCCATGTTATTACTCGTATTTACCATCTATGTCCCTTGAATATTTCTCATTCTGACAGATCATCATATTGGTACCCTGGTACTGTGGTCTGCCCCGGGTCAAGAGTACCCAATCTTCTGCAATCTGACTGTAGGAGGACAAAGAGGGCCATAGTTCCTCTAGCTCGAACTTTAGTTGCTGAATTGGGACCTCAGCAGCAGTTCTCGTCACCAGTTGACACCTCGCACCCCTACACGTCAGTCAGAGATGATGATACATACAACGGTAGGGAATTAGCTTATTTTTTCAGAGCACAAAAATTCGCTAATTCTGTAAGTATCATATTAAATTCAGTGGGAAAAACTTGCTTTATGTCCTTTAGAGACTTGGCAAGGTATGCCTACATCCTTGGACTACCAATTTTACTTTTGAAGCATTTAACTGTTTCATTTGTTTTCGAAACTTTGTTTCATTTGTTAGTAGGATTTTCTTGCCCTTATTCTCTTACATGAGTACCGGGTACAAGATTTCCTGCGCCCTTGATTTAATTTAATATCTTTCACTTAACGTTAATTGTTAAAGATCACACAGGATAGGTACCAGTTGCCACGTTGTCCTGTTTCTGACATTTCATTATTGAACATTCGTGTACCTTTATTTGCTAATTTCACCATGTTTCGTCTCCAAACTTTCCGTGCAAATCCAGCAGGTGAAATAGGGACTTTAAGTCGTGCCAAGAGGACTGAACTACAAACTCTTGCACATGAGTATCAACTAGAAGTTCCCTACCAAGCCAACAAAAATGACCTACACAACCTGTTGCTGGATTACTATTTAGAGCAAGGTAAGATAGACTCTGACACTCATGAAACTTACTATATTGCAGATAAAACTGATTTGGCAACGCTGAAACTCAAACTAGAGCTGGCCAAGATTGAACGTGAGCAGCAAAGGGAAGCCCTCGAACAACAAGAACGAGCTGCTGCCATACGAAGAGAAGAACAAGAACGCGAGGCTGCCTTGAGGAGAGAAGAACACGAACGTGGACTCGCCCTCCACGAACGTGAGGTCGCCTTGCTCCATGAACGTGAGAGAGTACAGCTTGAAACAAAACAACGCGAGTTGGAAATACAACGCGAACATGACAAGCAACAAGCAACTCTAGCTCTAGAGTGTCGTCAACGTGAAATCGCCTTGGAAACTTCCCACTTCACTCAACGCCAGCAAGCTACTGCCAATCTTCCCGTCAGTTTTAATATATCACATGCAAGTAAGTTAATGCCATCCTTTGTAGAAGCAGAAGTTGATGTTTTTTTCACCACCTTTGAAACCCTTGCTAATCAACTCAGTTGGCCTGTCAACCAATGGGCCACACTTCTCAGAGTCCATCTTACAGGTAGAGCTGCAGTCACACTCAGTACTTTGGCGTCTGAGAATGACTACTACACTCTGAAACAAGCAGTGTTGGACGCCTACCTCCTCTCTACTGAAAGTTATAGAAGGAAATTCCGTGACCACCTGAAGGCAAGTGCCACTACCTTCCTCGAGTTTGCTAACACGAAACGGAGGTATTTCATGAAATGGCTGGAAGCAGCACATGTCTCTACTTTTACAGAACTCGTGAACCTGATGCTTGTTGAAGAATTCTTGAGACGTGTGCCGCCTCCTGTCCGCCTCTACTTAGCAGATAAAGAAGAAACCGACTACCTGAAGTGTGCTAAGTCGGCTGACACTTACAGCCTCATCCACCGGCTGACACCTGAACCATCCTCCAGTAAGAAGTCGTGGTACAGTTACGAGAAGGTGAGCCCCGATCAAGCTGGTTCACAACTGTACTGCAAATATTGTAGACTCTATGGACATACCATAGACAAGTGTGGTAAGTCTCAATACAAGGGAACCACTGACCAACAACGACCCAAACCAACTCCTCCTAAGTCCGGTAAGCCTGTGATGAATGTTGGTGTTGATGTTAATGATCTTTCTCTTTTCAGTAACCACCTGTATACTGGAACTGTCTCTGCCAACGGTTCAAATCCGGAGGGACGTTTCAAATTGAAGATCTTGAGGGACACAGCGGCTCTACAATCGATCATCTTGAAGTCGGCTGTGCCCAACATAGTCTACACCGGGGAAACAGTCTTCATCACTGACCTCACTGCTACCACTCCATACCCTCTCGCCAGAGTCCACCTGAATTGTCCCTACGTGAACGGGGAAGTCCAAGTCGCCGTCAGGGAAAAGCCTTTTCCCATGCCTGGAGTGCAACTTCTCCTAGGCAACGACTTGGCAGAAGACCTGCAACCGACCAACCTGATCGTCATGGACAAACCCCAGGTGTGTAACTCTGTGCCAAGTAACCCTATTCTTGAGTATGTTCCAGCAGAGGTTCAAGAGAGTGATGAAGTTTCTCCTCCGGTTCTCGTGACCACCCGTGCGCAAGCCGCACTTCCACAGCCAGCTGACTCTACTGCTACCGCTGTCCCTCAAGACCCTCAGAAACTACCCCCGCATCTGACCAAGTTGGAGTTCCGTAAGTTGCAGAGGGAAGATCTTACTTTAACACCATTGTTTTTCCAGGCTGAGACTCAACCCGACAGTATTCCTGGGTTCTTCCTAGAGAACGACTTGCTCTACCGCAGATATAGACCCAGTAAACTGAAGGAGGAGGACGATTGGGCCAACACCGAACAACTTGTGATTCCCACCAGCCTGCGGCCCACTATTCTACACCTGGCCCATGGAGCATTCTCCCACTACGGCTTCAACAAGACTTACCATGGGATTCGTCAAGACTACTACTGGCCAGGTATGGTAAACAACGTCAAACAGTACGTAAAACAGTGTCATACATGTCAGATGGCAGGCAAACCGAACGTCTCCATTCCCAGAGCACCACTGATTCCCATACAGGTGCCTGCGGAACCTTTCCACAGACTCATAATAGACTGTGTTGGTCCTTTACCTCGGACCAGTTCAGGTAACGCCTACATCCTAACCATCCTGTGTCCTACCACCAGATTTCCCATAGCAGTTCCAGTGAAGAACATCACGGCTGCTACGGTTATCAAACATCTATTGAAGATCTTCACTCAATACGGATTTCCCAGGGAGATTCAAAGTGACTGTGGCACCAACTTCACCAGTGATCTCTTCAAAAGGACACTGGAGGAGTTCAACATCAAACAGGTATTGTCCAGCCCCTATCATCCTGCTTCACAGGGTTCTCTTGAACGTAGTCATCAGACCATCAAAGCACTCTTGAAAAAGTTTTGTAGTGAAACCTCAAAGGATTGGGATAAGCAGATTGACCTAATAATGTGTATTTTCAGAAGTCTCCCCAATGAGTCCCTAGGAGTATCTCCTTATGAGATGCTCTACGGCCGTAAGTGCCGTACTCCCCTTAAGGCTTTCAAAGACTCTCTCAGAGATGCCACCTTCAGTGAGCATCAGAATGTGCCCCAGTTTCTTCAAAACCTTCAACACATTCTAGAGAGAGTCCACCGCTTTGCTCATGATAATCTATTGAAAGCCCAGGTGAGAATGAAGACTCATTACGACCAGACCAGCAAAGTAAGAAAATTCAAGCCGGGAGACTTCGTCCTTGCCTATTTTCCTATCCCAGGTTCACCTTTACAAAACAGATTTTCAGGACCCTACTGCGTCAAAGAGTGCAGGAATAATAATAATTATGTGATAGAGACTCCTGATAGGCGGCGGAAGACCCAGCTGTGCCACGTCAACCTCCTGAAGCAATATAATGGTACTCCTCCCACTGTCTTGACTAATTATTCCACATTCACAGAACCCTACATCCACAGTGAGACCTTCCCAGCTTCTCCTCCCGAAAGCACTGACAAGGAGTCAGCGCTTTCTAATTCCGAAATCCTTAATGATCTTCCCAAATACTTTCAGGATAATCATAGTGCACCTCTCGTCAAGATCTTCAGAGAACATCAAGAGTTGTTCAGAGATGATCCCCAAGAGTGTAATGTTAC